AATATCATGCCATGTTGTACTTTCAGGATATGATTAACATTAGAAAAATAGAAAGGTCTTATTCTTCATTTGTATTTTGTCTAATGTGCTCTTTAGGTAGAGTAAAGATTGATGTTTTTTTAAAGATGCTATAATGCTACACATTTTTATTTTATTTTATTTACTTTACGTGCTGCTTTGAACAGTTCAGTTTCCTCAGCTACTTAGGACAAGCCCTCCAGCTTGCATTGTAATCAACCGAGCACTGAAAAGCACAAACCACAATATAAGGAAAAATGCTGCCATTCATGAAAGTAGTCTAGTTGGGATTAGTAAAGATTATATTGTAGTGTGTCTATAAATTATTGCTTTCCACTTAGATTTTGGGATAACACATTAGAACAGATTTTAATTTATTCTTTTCCTTTAATTATTTTAATGATAATGCAAAATAAATAAATAAATTCAAGTCCAATCCAAAACCTTATTTGTGCATGCATTTTTGCATTAAAGGGAAAAGCTGTTTTGCCCCTCAGGCTGTGTGCTGCAGTACAGTCTGGTGTTCCTAATGTGAAATGCTTTAGTAATACCACATGGGATGTAGGCATCATGTCTCTGGAGACTGAGAACCCCTTGTATAACATACAGATCAATGGGACAGCCGTGCTGGGTTACTGGAGATAAAGCAATTCCCCTTGGCCACACGAAGACATTTCCAGTCATTAGACATATTAAATAAGACATCGCCTTTTCATTCACAAAACTACATCCCTGGAAAGACCTGATCAATGAATTTTATGCAGGCAGTGATTCAAAAAGCAGTGAGAACGAGGTCTGAACATCACTGGTGGGTGTACAAATCCACTCACCAACTTTTCCATTTTCTAAGAACCGGCTTGGCATATTCATGTATTCTAAAAGATAAACAGTTGTATAAGCAAGCAAGTGCAAATTGCAAATTTAATTAAAATGTATTAAGAGCTTTTAGGGTGTTTCAATATCTGTAATTTTAATTAAAATGTGTTTGGTGGAAATGTCTGCAGACCCATGAAGAGGAAGAATATTTTAAGCATTGTTCTAATGTCTATTCATTTTATGCAATTAAAGACCATACATTAACATTTATTACCATCTATAAAAAAAATACAAATAAAAGCTAGCTAACAGTGTGTCTCAAAATGACCTAATATGGATATAGGCATGCTGAACTTTGGCAAACAGAATAGCTTCAAGGTTTGTTAGCTCATTAAAACCAGGATGCACTGAATCCAAGAGCTTAAATGGACTTAATCATTGAATGAATGTGCTTTTCATAAGCTATTTGGTATTTTTCACAACTTGTATCTGTCAGCTTTGCTTTCTTATTTTCTTTGCATTATGGTACGTTCAGCATATACTCATGATTCTGAAAAGGTATTATATACCCTCTCTTCCACTCTGATATTAAGACCAGGAAAACAGCTACAGTTTCATAGATTCTAAGGTTAGTGGTTATGAATTCTCATCCAGTTCAGGAAGGCGTTTAAACACTTAAATAGCAGTGCATCCAATTTCCCCTTAAATATTGATCAGCGTGACAGAGGAGGATTTTAATATTATTCAGCTTTTTTGCAGGGGCTATTGCTAAGCAGCTTGCCATCCTAATTACAGTATGTAATAATAAATGCATATACATTTCATAGACTCTACATCACATAAAGGAGGGTGGACCTTTGGAACAAGCTGCTCAGCCATTTTGTTGTAGAAAACAAGAAAGAAAGAGAAACTCTTATTCAGTGATTCTGTTAGATCCTATTAAATGCGAGACAGGGATGAATGGGTTTGAGGTTATTTGGTGTAAATCGCCTAGCTGAGAGAATGCCATTCTGTTCGTAGTGTCAAGGTTGACCGACAACCCCCTTCCCTTCATTGTCTTGAGGAATGAGCCAGGGAGCTGCTCCTAGAGTGAAGATGGGGAGGTGGGAGGGGTGAGAAAGAGATGTGCAAAGTGAAGTCCAGAAGGAGTGATCCATACATACTGTACATAGGAGAGGTGATGAAGGTAAGATTGGGATCTAACCTTCCTTCTGGATTTCTGTTCTAAATTCCATTTTCCAACATTTATTTAATGCATTTTCCATTGTTAAAAAAACAATGACAATTGCCAATGCAAGAGCCAAATTTCCTACTTAATTAGCCAAAGAAACATTTCTTTTTGCACAAGAGAGAGGTAAGAGATGAGTTTGAGTTGCAAAAGGTTTTAACCACCCTTCACGCCCCCAATCAATATAACTTCAACTCCCTCCATCCTACACCCCAGCACACAGCCTTATAATGGTTAAATTCTTATCTGAAATTGTTGCCTTCAACAAGGATTATTTTAGAAACCCAGCTCCAGATAAAAGATATTGGAAAAAATAACACAATTTAAAATCTCTTGTCAACAGGGATCAGCATAGGCACTGCGTGGGGTTGAAGCTGATGTGACTTGACTTGAGGAAACTTCAATAACTGTAGAAAGCACCTTCCTGGAAGCTCTTGCTATATTCTGCACTTTAATCACATTCAGTTATTGGAATTTGGGCTCACCTACATAAGCACAACTTCAGAATTTGAAGGGAGACAGAAAGCTGCTGCTGTAAGTCTGTGCCACCTGAGAATCAGTTTTACCACAGGCTCTTGAATTGGGATATAGTGTCATCGTATTTGTTATGGGCAAATTAGTGATCAGTTTCATGGTCATTGATGTTCCTAAGTGTGATTGGCTGAGCAAGCTGACGCTTAGCTACTTTAAAAAGTCAGAAATCTTTTTGCATTATACTCTATGCCTTAATGTTAGCCTTAACAGTTGCATTCTTGGTCCTATTTTTGTTCAGTACCATTTTATGAAAAATAACATAACTGTTAGACTGATAGGTCCCCAAGGGTAAAAAATATTTTGAAAAA